ACCAAATGCTTTAGTTTTATGAACTCCTTCGCCATTTGCAGTGATAGCGGTGGTTCGGTTTTCCTTTTTATGTTCAAAAACCAGAAGAAATCATACAAAATTCACTGTCTTTTTTCTGGTTGTCGAGGAGAAGTCTGTGATGTAGCCACTTTATTGCCCGATGATCAGCTCGGCTATTCAAATGCATCCTTCCGTGACATAGGACTGATTGCCATGGCGTCAATCAACAAAGTGTATGTGGTCGCGCTTCGGCCTTCTATACGGCTGATCTGCATCTTCGAACTAACCGGCCGACCATTTACATTGCCGTTTTTGTCGTGGCGATATGAATCGTTTGGTAACAATCGAATTGGTGATCGAAAACAGTCCAGTTCCTTCACCGCGATTCTTCTGTCTGCCAGAGACATGACCGTGCGTATTTCTGATCTCAGCTCTAATGACGGAGGCTTCAGCTTCCATTGCAGCATTCGCCAAACTATCTCTGTTCCCCTTCCCATTATTAACGCGTCATGGCTTTGTTCCGGTCGTTTCATTTACTTGGATTCACATCAGCAATTGCACATTTATGATCTTCTGTTAGCCAAAACGGTGGATGTCATGGACGCTTCCGCTTTCAAGACTGTGTACAACAGTAATATTTTCAAAGGTAATTCATTTTATCTCTTTCCGCTTAAAATTGTTAAGTATGCAGCTGCCGCTGTCTCTGATTTGTTTGATAAGAAAAGCACATGTTAAAAGATATTTTATGTTTATAGCAAAGATCATTTTATCAGCTTGTTATTGAAAACCATCGCCATTAGCGTAATTAGTCAAAAATTTCTTTTATCTTTATGTATTCAGAATTCCTTAAAGTTCCGTTCCAATCACAGATCATCTCCATACTAGGCTTGCTTTTATACTGTATTAATTATATTGGTTATAATTCAAAAGTTGAACTAAATTTTTATTACTTTACTGTGACATGATTCGTGAGGTAAGAAGCGAAAGCTGAAGAAGAACCATAAAAAAATTCATAGTTGTGGCATCAGCATCAAAGTATTAATGAAATGGAATAAACTTTTCAGTTTTAGGAATCCCTGAATAAATTTAAAAATAAAAATTTTATTTCTGTATAACATGCTGTCGACTATCAGGAAGAAGCTTATTTGCTCTGCATTTATTTCAAAACTTTTTTGACCGTCTGATGCATTTGGAATATGTCCCTTTAATAAATGCTTTGGGGTGTGGGGGATTTATATATGAAGTATGGGGGATTTATATGTGAAAGAAATGTTTCAATTTTTAGAATAAATGAATTACCTTATTTCGATTTGAAGCGAAAATACTATAACGAAAGCAAAAAATTTTAACTTTTAGTTCACGGATAGTGTATAAATTTTAGTAAAATTTTACAAAATAAGATGATGTTTTACTGTTAACCAGAATCAGGAAAAGATGCTGTTTTTCATCCAGGCCAAGTAGTACCTATTTTGATCTGTAATTTGGCGTGGCTGTACATGAAACATGAGAATAAACTGATTCTAATTTTTTATAATTTGAATTACAGATGTGCGTCTCGAGCGTGGGAAGATTGTGATCAGCGAGTTTGAGAAGCGTTTCTTTTGTATTTCTACTTTCCGAGATGCGATTGATAATCTGTTACTTTCGTGTAGAGTCAACATACTTAATTTATTGCCCATCTGGTGTCAAGAACATTTGCGGAAAACCGCTCTGCAGTAACTCCTTAGATTTTAAGTCATTGACAGCTGTCCTTAAGCATCAAATGATCTGTCAGACCGTACGACAAAAACGATGCTGCCACTCATCATGAAATGCATTTTATTCATTTGGTGCAACAGATCAGTTAGTCAAATTAAATCAAGAAAGTATTACAGCCGATATGAGAACTTTAGTCGAATGGAAAACTATGTAATAACATATGTCGAAGCGTATGCATGTCCCATTTTCTTTGCCACTGAAGCAGCTGTTTATCACTGTTCATCGCAGGCTTTGAGTAAACAATGAAGAAACGGTTTAAACTTTAAACTTAAGCTACTCTTCTTTAAAGCAACTTTAAAAATATCACGGTTTCAAGTGAGACTCATGCTTATTTAGGCTTGGCCTGTGGTGGAAATGTCAGTTCAGCCATGAAATGTCTTGCCGAAAACGCCTGCTATCATTCTGTGGTAGTTCGTGACTGCATCTATTTCTTAGGCACGACAGACATTTACCGCATCAAGGTGAGAAACACTGTCCAGATTATGAATCAGCTGACGACGACAGAAAATGATTTCGGAGCATTGGATTTTGCTCTGAGTGAATTACGTTCATCACGTTTGTCTAAACATCCGATCATTCGTTTATCCTGTCGGTCGCTAAAAGACGGCGTAGTTTCTGTTCTTCTTAGACTGATCCAAAATTTACTGTCGGAGTTGAATGCAACGGATTACGTGACATTGTCAAATGGCAAACGAGTGTTTAAGGTTTTTATAACTTAATTTATATGATCCTTTGTATCCGTCCTTCCGACTCTCATTGACATTCATTTCCAAATTGCTGTATTTCAGAATGAAGCTTTTCAGAATGACTGAATGTGCTAGCGAAAACGTGTATTTCAGTACCGTTTTTTATGATTTCTTGAGGATCTTTAATTGACCGTTTAAATAGTAACCAAACGGAGGTTTAGTTTTCTGTCATGCAAGTATTTATGGCTTGCACTAGTTGTTTACAAAATACATCTCGAACTGTGCAGCACATTTTCTACGTAGTTTTTGCACAGCTTTAAAGGCCAGAAGGAACGCAAAGGAAGGATATTTTATTTTTAATTTTGAAGTCATCTGAACTAAAATATTATTTTAGACTATTGTTTCTTATTGCATAGACCTGTCACACGTGTCAGGCGACGAGTCATTGCTCTACTCAGTTTTCTACCCTGCGTTCAGCTACTCTGATCCTGCTACAGAAATATTCTTTGAAGTTTTGACCGACTTCATAATTATGGATGTTGATAAAAGTTCCATGCCAACAGAAGTGATGGACAACTATTTGAAATACCATGAAAAAAACGGATCTTTTTCGGAAATAGAAAAGTCTGTTGTTCATTTTCCAGTCGAAAGCCTGAACATCAACTATGTAATGCTGCTGTATGCAACAAAATATTATTGTCGAAAGTTCGATTTGCAGGTGTACAAGTTGTGTAACGCCCATGGTCTCTTCGATGCTGTCATCTATGTTTGCTTAAAGGCTTTCATGGATTATATACATCCCCTGAAGGTAATGAGACGGCTTCTTTCAGCATTTTTGATCATTCGTTTATTCGTTGAGGAAATGTTCACTTATCTTGAAGAGAAAATGGCTCCTGGATTGGCACTGACTGGTAATTGTGCAGTATTTATGTTCTGCTTCTGATTTTAAAATACTTGAATACATTCTTTAGCCTACTCATATTTTGCCATGCAACCATAATAGATTCTGTAACTTACCGACCAGAACTGGGTGAACTTTTATTCCCTTTGTTCAATTATGGTCATGTATCTTACGGAGTTTGCTCCTCATGTAGATTTTATTGAAGAAATTTCTTAAATTTCGTTAGTTTGCATGTTGTCAAGATCCAGTAATTAAAACAGAGTTTGCAGATATGAAGTTCAGCGCCATATACGACTGAGTATGGATTATTTTCGACAGCTTTCTCTTAGCAGCCATCATTCGATCTACTAACATTGATCTAGCCGCTTACGCTTTCATGGAATATAATCTTTTATCTCTAGTTGAACGAAGATGGTTTCTTCTTTCACCACATGTCCTGCCCATTACCGTTTCAAAGGTTAGGTTTTCAGTGACGTCGTAGAACCTTTTTTGTGTCATCAACTCTTCACTCGTCTTCCATGTTTTCTTATTAATCCAAGTAAAACAGCTTTCCATGCTGCGCTGCACTGTCTGCTGTATGTGAACAGCTTATAGGTATGGTGTTTGTTTCACATCCATACATTACAACTAATCGCTCGCACTTATTGAACGAGGGCCTTCGCTTCTAGGGCCAGAACAGTTTTCGAAATATTTTCCTTTTTTCAGAAGTTTTCTGTGCCACTTTTACTCCGCTTTTACTCTTCTGTTTATTTCACAGAGTCAGTTTTCAGTGCAGTGCTGAGCTGCCCTAGATGGGCATAATTTTGCCCATCTTCAAGCTTAAGTCTGTAGATATCAACAGGTCTCGAGATCACGTATGTTTTAAACATGACCTATGTCTTCTTCAGGTTTATTTTCAGTCCTGTTTTGACAGTGGCATTGTTCAGCTCTTGATTCTTCTCTGGAGCTTTCCTGAAGAGCTTGTGACAATCAAAACGTCGTCGGCAAACCGCGGATGGCTTGAATAGTGTAAACTTTTACCACTTGAGTGTGTCAGCGGAAACTTCTTTCACTGTTATTGTAAATATCTTCGGTGATATTAATTACCTTATGTGACATCATTTTCGATTTTGAATCTGTTAATATTTTCTAGAAGCACAATAATGGCTGCTGCATTCTTTTAAATTATAGCAGTGAGGTCTGTCTCTATCATTTTTGACTTCCTGATTCCGCGGGATATCTAATGCATACCGGATGTAGACTGTGTTTAAATCCTTTTTTAAGTCGACGAACCCCAAGCCGACAAGAAGCTGCTATTTGAGTCATATGCTGTACTATCTGCAAGTGATCTGTCGTGCTAAATCCACGTCTGAATCCGTTTTGTTCAATTTGCTGTTCAGAATACAATTTGTCTTAGTATAAGTATGAATTTATATTAAACCCTCGAAGTCCTATCACGGTCAAGGAATTTTACTGCCATATTAATAAAAGCCATTAGCTGATTTGGTCATGTACAATACGACCGTGTAAAAATATGTGGAAGCTCATGTTTGTAACATTATACATTCAAAACTGTTAAAAAATATGTGTGCTCTTCCGATTAAAGGTTTACGATATCTCTGCTTCATCTACATCAGACTCTGACCTTTAAATTGGATGGTTAAACCCTTGATACAGACGGTGACCGTAAATTTTTCCGTCCGGATTTAAAATCAGCATGTATTCTTCTGTTAGACAAAACTAGCTTGCAATTAATTGGTAAATATTTTATCATGATTCCAGCACTCTGAAGTTATGAGCAAGGAAGTCAGAAGAACCGGATAATACTTGGTAAACGATATGAAAAATGAAGTAATGAAAGGAAGAAACTTCGAAATTCCATTCAAGCCGTCTAACTTGTCTAGGGCTGAAAATGCCATCAAGAAAATTAGTTCAACTTTGTACATCGACGTTGGTCTGTCTGATTGCTGGATGAGTTTTTTTTTAATTACTATTGTTCTTTATATTAAAAAAAGAGGTTGTTCATACTTAGATTGGTTCTCTGGAGTTTTCAGATACCTAAAATGTTTTGGGTTGTTTGTTGGGTTTGCCATTTGTTGTAGTAACAATCATCTAATTTGTCTAGACTTGTATGTACGACTTTAGTTAATTATGGACGCAGTGTTTTGTTGCTGCGGTTTTAATACATTGACATATCGTTTGTTTAGATGAGGTCATTTTGGTCGGCAACAAGCTACTGCTCTACTTAAAGTAAGTGCTTCTCCCAGCCGCTCTAAATGACGTGTGATGTTATAGTTGCTGTTTAATGGGAAAGTCTTACCTCAACGAAATCTTGGATGAAGAAGAGTCCAGAAAAGTTTCTTACAGAGTATGATCACAAAATATTGCATATTGGGTGATGCACTGATTTCATTTTTGTAGACATTCGTTTTTTTACTCACTGAATATCTGTCCCATAGTGAGACAGCTTATAATACGACGCGGAACTTGTTTTAAATTTCTGCTTCAGGTGCAGTAAAATTCCCGTACTTGATTCTGTTGATGCGCTTCGACTGTAGAGAATTTCTGAATGGGATGACAATTGTAACTTTTGATTGCGTGGTTTGTTTAAATTTAATTAATCTGTGTCGCTTCTAGGTATTTCAGTCTCGTCTCTTCCGGTCTGACAGCGGGTTAATATTATTTGTGAAATTCTTCTGTGATAATTTTTTTTAGCATGAGTCGA